TATATATATATATATATATTTTAAATTTTCTGCTGAAAAAAATTACTTTGTGTAGGATTTTTTGCTCTACAAAATATCAAAATTTGTTGATGGCATTTTTTCGGTATAGAGAGTCACGAACCGAAAAGGAATGTGAAAATGAAAAAGAACCCCACGTATTTAACAGTGATATTTTACAACCATAAAAGGGGGCTATAAAAATCTGCTATGTTTCAACGTTGAAAATTTGTTACAAAAGTTGTACTTTAAAATAATAACAAATTACTACTTTGCCGGATTGAAAGATGCTGTTTCGTTTCAGTGTTTTCTGCTTCTTATATTTCGTGTTTTACCGGGGTGAGTCAGTAAGATACGTTTAAATCACAGAAAGCAAGCAGCAGTGAAGTTTGATGAGACTTACATTTTACGGAGCAGCGGATTTCGTGGGCAGAGAATACGCGGAACACGAAATCTTTATTTTGCTGTATGAGAGTTCAGCGAAGAAAAGGATTCCTGAGCTCTAAGAACTGTGCTTATCGTGAAATCATTTAAGTTTTGTTTGCACAACGAACTTAATTTAAAGTGCAATTTTTGTGACAAACTCTAAGTGCCTAAAATATACCATACTTTTTCTATCCGCTTTCGGTGACTTCTAGAAGCACCTGAAAACGATTCCGCCTCTGTAAAATAAGTGGGATTGCTGTAAAAACAATGAATTTTTTTTTCAGTTCCACATTCCTCTCAGGTCCGTAACTCTTGATACGAAAAAAAAAAAAACACCATTACTAAATTCCGATATTTCGTAGACCAAAAAATTCTACAGAAAATATCTTTTTTAAAAAATTCAAAAATGCCTTTTTTTTTGTATTTGCTTAAAATCTTGGTTTTACCGAGTTTACAGAATTTTCCAGCGGAATCAAATTGTTTAGTATGCTTTTATGCTTCCAGAAGCACAGGACATTCCAAAATTTAATGAACTAAAAACGTCGAATTTGGCTTGGGGAACTAAACTGCAACTCTGCAAAAATAGGCGTATCAAGTGGAAACCTAACACATTTTGCAACTTTGAGGTGGTGTAACTCAACAAGAAATTAACTCTTCCAGATTTCTTTTCGCGGCTTTCTGTATGCTGGCTTTGGCCCTAATAAACAACAAATTTTTGTAAAATTCTGGGATACAAAAAGAAAAAAGTGTGCCACTTAGCGCGGAATGGCCCATGTATTTATCAATTTATTTACTTTTATATACATTCAGCATCATATGAACCTAGGTTTCTTGAGTGTCACCCACCAGATCTGCCTACTGCGGAAGAAAAGCACAGATAACAAGTGCCAGCGAGGTTTGTGTTTCAATCCCATGTATTATTCGTATTACTTTTGTTAAGGTTTTTTTGTTTCTAAATGCGGTAGGCCTTCCTGAGTAGCCTAATACATCTCCGTTTTCAGTTTTAGTCCAAGGACTTCACAGTAGCTCCTATACTCGGTATGCCATCATTCCTTTTCCTAAAAAGAACCTTTTCTTTCTAAAATTTTTATTTGCTCTCACTCTTTTTAACTTTTTTCAGTTCTGTTTTTGGACGTACCAGAACGAACGGTCTTTCAACATCTTTTTACCTCCTTAGCTTCCCACCTTCCCACTACTATACTCTCTATATTCTTACACCAAATTTTTTTCAGTTCAGAGACCACAGAACGACTGAAAGCACTGACCACCGATGAGGTGGTAAAATAGATACGAAGGAACCATTTGAATAAATTTTCTGTGCAGGTAACTTCCGTTTACAGAATACTTGAACGAAATGATCGTTCAAAAGACAGTTACCTCGGCGTTAAACATTACCCAGACAGTACAATCAGGCATCCTGTAAACCTATTTGCTTGTGATTATTACTTATGGCTGCAGACATGAAACCCAGCAAGACTTTTTACCTTTAAGTATATCAAACCCAATACGCTAG